TGAACCTCTCCCAGAAGCGGGGAACAGATGCCTGGAGCTGCCAGCCTGGGACACCCTGCTCACTGCTATCAGCCAGCAGAGTCGTGATCATGCACCAGTCCACATGCAATCAGCACATCCCAGGTCTGGAAGGCAACACTCACCGGTATGGGAAGTCATCCCTGTAGAGATCATAGTCCAGATCGCAGTTACTGCTGCAGAAGGCAAGAAGAGAGTCACTCACAGTGCAGTGACCACTGACGTGCCACGGCATGGTACAGCACTGCTGTGGGGACAGCCACACTGAGCAACAGGTGGGCACAGCAGGTCAGGGACACCCACCCATCACACACAACCTCCTCCTTTCCCTGGGGAGGAGGGGGTATCTATCTTAGACAGACACACAGGCTGCCCTGGACTGCAGGACAGCACTTGGGAAGATGGCTCTGTGCTGGCAGGGGTTTGCCCCAGAGCCAAGCAGGGTATTTGGGTGCCTGTGGTGGAAAGAGCCCCCTGTGCAGCATCAGCTGGAGCAAGCCTTGCTATCTGGAAATCTACATTTAGAGCTCTCCGATGTTAAATTTCACGGTCCCTGGCTCCATGCACACGCTGTCTGCTCACTCAGCTCCAAATTAAGAAGCGATCTGTCAGCAAATCACCTCCAATGCAGGAAGCGAACATGCTTGTAATAAATCATGTGCTGTGAACCAGGAGGGGACTGGGGGAAGAAAGATGCTGAAGCTCATTTTGCCATTTCAGCTCTTGCAGAGTTGGTCAGTGTTAGACTACACCTAACACAAGGTGAGACAAAGCTCTGCTTGGAGCATCACTGCGTAGCTGGGAGCGGGAAGCCTTCTCCAGCCACAGTGCCCGGAATGGGAGTTGAGGACAAGGTCCCCTAGGGCCAAGGATGTTGCTGCAGGCAGCAGGAGCAGCTGCACCTGCCCATGGAAGGAGCAGTGCTGGAGCTTGGTGATCTCTGGGAGAGCCTTAGGGAATGTCTGCTGGAGGGTTTAAAGAGCTTCCTTCACTTTTCTGCCTGTGCCATTAAGCCGTAGCCATGCTTGCCCAGCCTGGGAGGCAGCTCCAAGCCAACCACGGGGCAGCCAGGGCACGGAGGGGCTGGTGATGCGTGGAGTGGCTGGCAGCACTTGGATCACCAGCTCTGCCCCACCGCCAGCCCCCTTCCAGCAGACAGCTCTGCCCAGGGATGCTCCATCCTGCTGTCCACCAGCAGTGACCAAAGAAGGTGCTTCAGTGAGGGGGAGAATTTCTGGAGAGCTGCTCTTCAGGTCAGTACAGCACAGATCATTCACCCCATTTCCACACTGCCCCGTGGCCAGCAGCCCCAGCACAACCCTGAGCAATGGAGACAGGCACAGAGGCACACTGCCCAGGCACCCCTAGGCCCTGCTGTCACTCTAGCTGCTGCCTTGCCTTTGGGTTTCAGAGAAAGGCTGAGGTTGCACCTCAGGCGCTTGCTGGCTCCTGCCAGGCAGACCAGCTCCTGGCATTGTGTCCAACATGCTGCTCTGCCCTGCCTATTAAATCCCACGCGTGGCATGGGAGCAGGCTGGGAGCCCCATCCTCACACTCCCGTGAAGGATGGCTGCGTATGATGATATCTCGCCTTCCCTCTCTCAGCAACATGGCCAGAGGGAAAAGCCATTCAAGGAGCCCAGCCAGAACTGGAAAGGCTCCAGGGGCCCCGCTGCTCCTGAGGACTGCAAAGCACCTACAACCTTGGAGGAGGCACCAGCCAAGCAGACATGCCAAGTGCTGGGGTTACAGCCTTGCAGGGCCAGACCTAGTCCTGCAGCTCTGGATTCAGGAGACCTGGGCTCATTCTGCTAAGCCACAGCATACCTCGGTGACCTCTGGCTTGTCATGCATTGCCACAGTGCCTCTGCTCTGACTGCAGGGCAGGGAGTCACCCTCCCTTTGACTTCGCCCTTACACGGCCAGGTTATGGGCTCTGCCACAGGCTGGACTGGAAAGGAAAAAGGCAGGTCCCAGTGCTCAGGGGTACCTTACCCATCAGGAGCAGCAGCAAGGTCCTTACTCCAGCCTGCTGGGCATAACCTCCCCCAATGCAGGGGAAAACTGCACCCCGCACTCCCCAGATTGCTTCCTCTAACACTAGTGGGAGCCCACAGGTGCTGGTGTGGCATTCGCGTGCCCCTGGCTGCCGGTGCTATTTCTGTGCCTGTGCCGCAGGCGCACAGCCCGGCTAGCTGGGATTCCTGGAAGGGGGAAGCAAACAGTCTAAAATAAACAGGAGAGGTCAGGACACCTGGCCAACAAGCTGAAGGCTCTGCAAAGCCTCACATCCCAGGACCAAGCCAAGGGCAGACTGTCCCTGTCCCCCTCCCCAGTGGTGATTATAGGCTTCTTGCTGCTTGGCTTCACCCCTAGGCTAGACTGCCATCGCTTCTGTTCAGCATCACCAAGCCAGCTCTGCCCCCGACCCCGTCCCCTGCCTCCTGTCCCATCCAGTCCTCGAGCACCCACTCCCATGCTCCCCGCCATCTCCAGGTAGGGCAAGAGCAGCCCATGCACCCAGGCTCCCCAATCTGCCTTAGGGAAGGGAGCCTCCACTTGAGCTCTACCAACCCGCCATGGTACAGCACAGCTCTGTATCCAAAAACCCCTTCCTGTAACACCACCATCCACAGGGTGTGGCTGCCTGGCCCAGGTAGGGGTGAATGGTACATCCCAAGAGGAGGAGATGGAGCAGTGATCACTCTCTATCCTTCGCCTCGTGCTGTTCTCCGGCCACGCCAGCACAAAGGGCCAGCCCCACGGCTGCCTAGCATCTGGGCACAGCCCAGGCTATGGCCAGATGCTCTGCAACCAAGGACAGTTTGTTCCCCAGAAGACAGGGCTGGGAGCCCACCCTGAGTCCATCCCGCAACCCCCTCCAAGCTGGCTCTGGGGACAAAGCCGGCTCCAGGAACAAAGCTGGCTCTGGAGGCCATGCCATTTTTGAGGGGTTCAGGAATGATTCACATGGGGCACAGCCAGCACTAGTGCCAGCCCTCCTTTTAAGGCACAGCTGGCAGGGTGAATGGGTGCCAGGAACGGCCTGCTCCTATTGTTTGCACCTGGAGTTATTTTGAGAGCTTTTGTTCCAGCCTCACTATCTTCCAAGTTTCCATCAGTCTGATCTGCTGCTCCCATCTCATCGTTACAGGGAGAGTCAGTAGGCCTGGCAGCTGAACCAAGTAAACATCCATCAGTCTAGCCAGAGCATGGACATGCGCTCAATGCGATGCTCAGTCCAGAACAGAGCCGCTCTGCCTTGTCAGGGCACAGCACACATACTATACTGTATATACATACCCTCAGAGCTGCGATGCACATATGTTATTTCTACATGGGACGTCCTGCCAGAAGGTCAGCAGTGCTTGGTCAGACAACCTGACAGGCAAACCTCATGCTCACCATGTGCTACTGACACTCTGCAGTAAGGCCCAGCCAGTCCTGTCCTCAGAACTGGGCTTCGACACAGACAGGCCAGCAGCAGCATCTCCCAGCCTGAGAGCTAACAGCTGAAGGAGAAAGGAAGAAAGCACTAACAAATCTGCGGCAAGATCCCAGCTCATTAAAAAAACAGGTCTGGTGCTGCCTGGTTGTTCCACCCAGTAAAGCCCTAGAAGCCAAATCATTTTATTACACTTTTAAAAAAAAGTCAAGACACCTCCCAATATGTCAATTTTGTAGGATCCAACCTGCTCTCCAGACCATAGAGCTCTTTGTAATCCCAGCATTGTGCTCCCTGGGCACGGGACAGCTTCTGTCTTTCCTCCCACAGCCTCCAGCTCTTCCAGCTGCTGCTCCCCAGGGCTGGGGCCATGGGGGAGAAGCACAGTTGGGGAAAGAGAAGAGAGCAGGCTGCTTGAGGATGGCTCAGACTCCCCCACCTGGCCCAGGCAGCTGCATCCCAGGCTCAGCCCACCCCAATGCTCAGCCACCACCTCAGCAGCACTGAGCATTACCATGGAGGGAAAACATGGGGATCCCGAGGCATAAGAGCAGCAGATGCCACAGGAGCATTGGTGGTTCAGTGGAAGGATTCTCACCTGCCATGTGGGAGGCCCCGGTTTGATTCCCGGCCAATGCAGCCTTGTTGTTTTGTCTCTCCTCCTCCCTCTTCCTAAACTCACTGTTTCGAAGCCTAGAAACGTTGGCTGCATTTTGCTCCGGCACAAAGAGAAGATGAGAAAGGGCTCCTGGGGCCTCAGAGCTGTGAGACCAAAGAGGTCCCGAGCCCAAGAGGCAAAGGAAAACCTGCAGAAAGGCAGAGATGCCCCCAACCCGCAGGAGGCAAAGGGACGCTAGGCCGCAGCAGCACATGGACTTGCAGCAGATCCCCAGCCCAAACCAGAGGTATACAACAAGCATTGCACTATGCTTTGCACTCTCCTGGCACTGACCCCCTCCCCAGGTTCCTCCATGCCCTGCAATGGCATGGGACCTTCCCCAAAATGAGAGGGCAGACAGGTACCTCCTCCATGGAGGAAGCAGTTCCTAGGCAGTAGGATGGAGGCAAACACATTCCATGAGAGGCATGGGTGCTAGTTGGAGGCTGCACGAACGGCTAGGGGAGGTGTTTCACAGGTCCAGCTCCCAGCCACGGATAGAGCGAGGACTTTCCTGGCTCGACTCCTTGCTCTTCAGAACAACTTGTGGGAACAGCGAAAACAGCAGCTGCCATGCTCCAGCAGGTACAACTGGGCCAGCGGGCCTCTGCAAACGCTGCATCCCTCCGCATGGAGGAGGGTCCGCAGTCCCACAGCTCTCTTGTGGCCTCAACTCTCCGCTCCAGCAGGGTGCCTCCTCCTGGTGCACGCCACACTGTCCCCACGACAACGGTCAGAGCAATTAGTTCAATCAGGGTGTTCGCAAAAGCTCTCCAACAAAATGGAGCACGGTGCTGGCTCCGGCCCCCTCCCCTGCACACACTGCTCACTGGCACAGCACCCAGCAAGACAACGCTCCCCACAGGCCAGGCTCCAGCCAACCCTGCTAGGCTCCTCACAGGCAGTCCCGTTGCCCTGTGTTGCTTAGAGATGAAGCAGGCACAGGAAGGGCTCCGAGAGGCTGCTCCCCACCCACTGCACACCCTGCACCCACCCTGAGGGGCTTTCTCGTCTCGACCCCCCGGGGGGGCCTCCCCCCCCCACAAGCTGCCAAGCCAGGGATGGTCAGACTGTCAGCCTGCCTCCACCGCAGCCAAGGGGAAGGAGAGCCCTTGGAAACATATCCAGTTTCCCAAGCTCAGGCCTCGTGAGCCAGGAGCTAAGAGGAGCCATGGCAGCATGCTCCAGGCTCTGCATCCTCCTGCCAACGGGCAGTGCAGGGAGCACTGTGCCAGAGTGAGCCTGCCCCAGCTTCTGCTCAAGCAGAAAGTACTCCCATGCCAAAGACAACAAAGCCACCATAGCTTTTGTCCTCCAGGAAGGACTCCGGTCTCCTTCCAATCCTGGTTAGGCTTCCAGCTGCCATAACACCCTGTGCGCTTGTGCTCCTCAGGCTGGCTACGCACTGCTTCCTTCAGTTCATTTTCAGCCTGCTAACAGATGGCTCCTGGGATACCCTCAGCTCAGTGTGGGAGGTTCATTGCAGACCAAAAGGCTCATGATCAGGAGGAAAGCTCTCACCTGAGATGGTCTCAGGACTGCCACTTGCCTTGGGACTGCTTGGCATTTGTTCTGTGCCAGCAGGACCCACAAAGGGACTGCAGCTGGGTCCCTGCAGAGCCAGGGAGCTGCAAGCGCAGAGAGATGAGATCTGCTTTTCTGGACCTATTGGCCACCTTCCCAATGTCTTCCCCCAGGCTGTTTTCTCAGGGGACAAACAGGCCTGCAATGTAATTTGAAGGCCAGGACCGAAAGCATAAGTCTACATTTATAACAGGTGTGGAGCTCTCCGGGACTTTCTCTTCATCCAGAGATGAAAGAGACCTTCCATATACCTTTGGATGGGAAGGGAGATACATTATATGTTGCCCACCTTAGTGGATCCCACCAGTAACAAACAACTAGGCCACACAAAGCACTGCAGGAGGTGAAGGGTTACAATAATATTTTTTACATAGCTGACAAAACATCTGAGCTATGTAACAGTGGGCCTTCTGCCACACCGAGAGCCCTGGTAATGTGTCCACGGGCTTGAAAATCAGCAAGGACTCCAGTCACTACCTCTCCACTGCCATGGTGGGAACATGAGGTGTTCCAAGAATCCCATAGGGATGGGGCAGAGGCATCCCACGAACCCAGATGAATGCCCAAGGATGGGCAGCCAGAAGAGTCTGAGAGGCAAGAGGTGAAGAGCAGGGAAAGGAAGAGGAGCACAACACCTCAAGCCTCCTGCAATGTGCTCAGCACCACTTGTGACAGTCCCCAGCCCAAGAAGGGCATCCTGGTACAGCCCTCCATCCCACATTACGGCACTCACTGGTACAGGGCGCTGCTGTGCTGCCTCTTCTGGCCCAGTCTGGCCCGGCTTGGCTTGGGTTCTCTGGCCATGTCCAAATCTGAGGGAAGAGAGAGCAGGGGAAATGAGTGGTAAAGAAAAAAGAGAATCCCAACAAGCTACCACACGCAGAAGGGTGTCAGACAGCAGCTTCCCAGGGGCACAACAAGGGCACTGGGGGCCCTTGGACACTCTCCTTTCACTGATGGAGGCTCCCAGCCCCTCTTTAAAGGCATCCAACTCTAAAGCATCAGCAGTAAGAGCCCAAGGCAACAGCAGGCATGGAACCCACAAGGTCGCCAGCCTTTGTGTAGCATGCATACTTTACATACATACACTTTACAAACATGGAGACAGTGTTTCCCAGAAGGTAGAGCACTTCACCAGAGCAGAGGAGACCTGGGCAGTCACTCCTGACTGCCCAGGACCGTGGTGAGCACACCAAGGCATTTCAGCACTCTGGGCCTCCATTTTCTGTCCTGAGTCTGGTTATCAAGGATCAGACTGAAGGTTTAAACATCTGCATTGCAACTTTCAGCTTTCTCTAAACTACAGTTGGCTTTCAGAAAAAGATAGCAACAGCTCAGGCAGACCCTGTATTGCCCCAACATACAAACCTGCTTTGACTGTCCCCTGCAGCAGCCCTGCCACACCCACCAGCCCAAGCACAGCTGAGGCCAAGGCCAGGCATATTCAGATTAGGGACACAAAAAGCACTTTTGATGATGAAAGTAATTAAGCACCAGAGCCACCTCCCATGGCTGTGGTGAATCCTCTTTCACTAGCACTTTGAACATCCAGCTTGTGTATTTTTGTAAGAGCTCTGTACCCAGCTAGACACAAGCGAACACTGCCCACTGTGAACGGGTGCTGGTGGGGTGGAAGCAGGAGAGAAGCTCAGCATCTGGGTCAGTTTCTGCTCCAGAAGCATTGCAGACTGCTGAAGAGATGTTTGCAAGTCTACATCATCAAAAAGTGTACTCTACAGCTGCCCCTGAATGGTGCCTGCTTTTGCAATAGCTGAACTGTCTCCCTGCCCTGCCATTGCCACCACGCTGCATGCTGCCACCCAGGCTCTCCAGCCCAGTCACCCCCTGGCCCCAGCACCTCCTGGGCAGACAGCATGGCCAGAAAGCTGCTGCAACACTGCCCCCACCAAGCCCCTCGGCCCCCTCCAATAGCGGACCCATAGCTTGCAGACACGCTGCTGTAGCGAGGGTCATGGTAGGCACAGGCCCCGGGTGAGGTGCCTGGAAGGAGGAGCAATGCATATCTAAAAGCAACCGACCGCTGAAGGAGCCTTGCTGTGCCACAGCACAGCCGACAGGGACACCAGTACAGAGGAAACGCACTACCCACTCTGTCAGGAAATGGGGAATTGTCCACCTGGCACCACCCTGGCTCAGAGAGATGTTTGGTATTAGGCCTCGTGGCTTTGGGATCATGTCTTCTTATTCCCTTCTAAAGCTCCTGGCTCTATCTCTGTCCTTAAGGACTCATCAGGAGGTTTTCCTGCCATCTTAGCATTGCCACCTTGCAGAGCACGGGGCTCACAATGAAAGGCTTTTAACCAGGAAGGCAGAAGTTTTCTCCCCCCAGAGCAAGGCAAAAGCAGGAGTTTCATGCAGCTGCAAGAGCACATCTGACCTGAAGCCTCTGCTGAAACTTGCAGCTCAGCAAGCTGGCTCACTGTACAGGGCTGCTCCTGGCCATCAGCGTGCTGCAAATACCCTGTGCCAGCGGGAAGCTCTTTGCCTCCCCAGGACCTGGCTGCTTGCATATGTAGCTGCACAGATGGGAAGGTTGAGAGCGCTGCCCCATGCGTGGCTCTAACCAGCCTGGAAAATTGTACATTTCCCCTGCTGCAGCCCTGCCCAGAGCGCCAGCCCGTGTGGCCAGGGGACTGGGTAGTCTCCTCTAGGCTGCAGAAACCCAGAAAATAACGTAGGTATCAGGGAAGGGGCAAAAATGAGAGAAGGTGCAATTTTCATGTCCCTTTCAGGTTGCCAGACAGTTGGTAAGCGGACCCAGGCTCTAATTTGATATATCTCCAAGAAACATGTTCCTCCTGCTGCTCCCCTAAGACTTCTTCCACAGCCGCCTTCTTCACCTGGAGCTTTCCTTGCCCTGCACTGTCTCTGCTCAGCACCTCTTCCCTCTGCCTGCACAGCATCATCCAAACTGGTCCTGCCCATCTTCATTTCTGGGCTCTGCCCTTCAACCCCACGTCCCATACTGATCTGCAGAGCCCAGCCCACCTCCTCACCACACAATCTCTCCCAAGGTCCCTCCAGTTTGCCATGTGCAGCACAGCCCAGACATGTCCAGAATGACTGTACCACCCCAGAGGGATTTAACAAGGGCACCGCAGGACCCTTCACTCCGATACCAGGGCTGAGATGTCTCCAGACATGCACCTCACCAGCAGTTCCACTTCTTGGCTGCCGCACGCCCTGGCAGATCTCCTCTGCAATAGCCTTTTTTAGTACAGTTTCACTTGCTCCTTGACAATCTGCATCTGAATGGCAATGCCCACAAATCAGCAGATGCTTGTAAAAGATAAAGCCCATTGATCCCTCTGCCTGCCTTTCCCAGCTTGCCAGCTTTTTGGGAATCCTCTGCCCTGCAATTCCAGCTGTATTATTTCTGTCCTCCCACTTATAGGCAATTCCACATCTACTAATTTCTGGCAGATTCCACACGAATTACATTGAATTACATCTCCCTGGTGGGGCTGGCTGACAGGCTCTGCCCCTCATTCACATAATGCTCATCCTCTCCAGATGCCTCTCCTCCAAACTCCAGTGCTCTACTCCCAGCTCCAGAGATGACTTCTTCACCCTTTGTTTACGTTTTCACAGATAGTTATCGGGGCATGAAATGTCAAAAAAAACAGCTTGAATCTATTTCAAGAGTACAAGTTTGAGAGCCATTGCTGCAATTATTCACTAACATCTAGATATATTTAATTTTGCAATTTTTCCCCAAAAAACAATGTAAACTCTCCTGGCAGAGCCCTTCTCATTAAAACCGTTCTCCATATTACTCATGGCACATTTACTCTCCAAATGCTCACTGCTTTCTTCCCAATGGCTTTATTCAGGTTGGAGTTGGACTCATGAGGCAGTAAGTAATTACCAGAATCAGTTTTGCTTCCTCTTCTGGAGGATTAGAGCTACATTCACTTTCCCACACCATGACAGATAAGTTCAGGTCTAATAGGATGGGTGGAGGGGGGAGGGAAAGCATCCTGGAGCGCAGCACTGGCTGATCTCCAAAACTTCTTTTGGGCTGGGCTCCAAAACCTCTCTGACCCTTGGGATGGGAGCTGGTGGCAGAAATGTTGAGTTCTCTCTCTTTTACGCTCCCCCTTAACCTTCATAACTGTGATCAGCTCAAGTGGGAGCGGGAGACAGGAACTAATAGGGCTGCAGCCCCAATAGTGGGGGGTTGAGAATATCTTTGCTAGTCTGCCTCTGCGCCTTTCTTGGCCTAAAGGAAAGCCCCTTTCATCTATTACCACACCTGACCTCACCCAATTTCTCTCACAAGCACAGGGTACCAAGGATCATGCAACCTCAGGTCAAGTCTGATGGGCTCAGTTCCTTCTCTTCCCTGGTATCACCTCCAGGCACAGCTCAGCTGCCTGGTTACAGCAAAGAAAGCTAGATCCCCTGAGAAATGCCATTCCCACAGGTGACACTGGAGATGCCACTGCACTGGGCAACACAGAGCTGAAGCTTTTCAAGTCTTTTGACATCAAAATATATCGGCTCCTCTTGGCACAGCTCATTGGAGAGGTCCACACCTTCGCAGGCATGTAGGACCATGCCAGATAGGCATCCTGATGCCTATACCTGGAAATCCTCTCAGCCAGACCTTGGAGCTCATGCCATGCTTGTCATGGCCCTGTCTGCCCTCACCCCTTGATGGCTTTACTATGGGCAATGGAGTGATGCAGTGGGAAGGATTAGCATTAACCCTTCTCTACAGGCACATGGCTGCAAGGGCCAGGCATTGGCCCAGCACAACCCCACCAAGGTAGCCACCCCAGCCAGGTCTGGCAGAAATCATGGACACGGATAGGAGCATCTACCCAGGCACTCTGTGCCCCTGTGTGCAGGCAGGAGAAGCAGCTCTCCCCTCGCAGCTGGGCATCCCCTCCACTACAAAAGGGATCTGGGTCCTGCTGATTTCTTGCCAGTCCACTAGTTTTCCCCAATTTGCCTGTGGAAGAGAGAAACAAGCCCAGGGTTTGGCTCAGCAAACTAGGGCCAAACAGCATCCCTGGAGGCATGGCACTTGGACAGCTGGGACACCTATTCCTGTAGGATGCCAGATGCCAGTGATGGCTGTGTCTCTCTTGTGTTTTTGTAGCACATGAGAGAGCACAACCCAGAGCTGCTCAGAGGAGTCAGCCCATAGAAACCCATGCCAGGACTGGAGCTTTGCCCTACTTAGCAATAAGCCACAGAACAGAAAGACACCCTACCCTGCGGCCATGGCAGTCATCCCAGCTCCGACACAGGGCGAACCATGCCTGCTGCAGGGAAGATGTGGTAGCCGACATCTGGCTGACCAGCCATAGCCTCCACTGATTCCTTTCCAGGCTGGCTGGAAGCCATGAACCCTGCCGCTCCATGTGGCCTGCTCATTTCTCTCCTAGTGCAAGGCACAGCCTTGCTGCTAGTTGCACAAGGTGCTGCAGAAGAGGACTCCAACAGATGCCCCAGGATGCACTGGCACAGCCACACTTGCTGCACAAGGTAGATACAAAATGGAAGCATCAAGCACAACCTACCTGCACACCAAGTCAGAAAAGCTGCGTACCACGCTGCTACCTACAGACCTCCCTGCAGCACTCGTGATGCCCCCATTCTCCCCTGCACCTGGTCAAGGCTGTTATCATCTCTCCATCCAGGCTCACCACCAGAAGTAGGGAGCAAAAGACCATCTCCCCAGTGGCCATGCTTCCTGCAGGGCTGGGGAGGTAGGCCACATGGAGAACAGCACTGTCACAAACACATGCCATGGTGAGGACAGGCAACACCCTCTAGCCAGGGAAGCTCTGGTGCAGCAGATATAAGCACGGAGGATCTAGGTTTTAGACATGGCTTTACAGATAGGATCTAGCTGGTGCTCACACCTCCACAGCCTCTGAGTCCTGATTTTCAGGCTGTATGGGACCACTGCTGTCATTGCAACACTAGCACCCTCTTATAACAGCAGCTGGGTGCAACAGAGGCAACATGTCATAATCAAAGGGCATACCAAGGTCATCGCCAATGGCAGTCTTTACCTTGTGGGCCTCTCCCAGAGGAGGAGACAAACGGCAGCACATTCCTCTGAGAGGAGCAAAGGGCTGAGCTGCATGTTTGGTGCCACACTCCTCAGGTGTCCAAGCCTGTGTGGCCTCCCTGAGCACCTCACCTTGGCCTCCTAACAGGCCTAGGAGAGTCCTGGGTGCCCCTGAGCACATATATAAAGGAGACTCCAGAGCCACAGCAACCGGAACGTGCAGTGCTGCCTGGGATCAGACCTGGAGCCACAAGTACCCTGAAGTTCTGCTCATGGTTACCATGAGGCATCTGCCAGAGCTAGGTCCCTTGATCTCTGCAGAGAAGGGATTTTGAGCAAGATCTAAGCAGAATGAAAAGGCACTTATTTGCTTTCCAGGCTGTTACCTTGTCTGATAAACTTTGCAGGTTGGGTCTGATCTCTGCAGTGATATGAGGAAGGTGCTCTATTTACCCTGTAGCTCTGGCAGCAAGCACAATTGCCAGGTAAAGCTGATTCACGCAAGGTATCCCATTTTATTTGGGGACAGCCAGCATCCGCAGCAGACAGACTAGCTCACCAGCCAGGACCAGAGCGCACCTTTCACATTCCTCTGACTAGCTCACCAAGCCAGACCATCACAGCAACCATCTCATTTCTCCACCTGCACAACAGGGACAAGAGCATCCCAATGGGGACCAGAGCACCCAAGCCAGCGACTCCAGCACCCCACACACAACGTGTGTCCAAGCTGGAGCAGACCTTTGAAGTAAACAGTCCTATGTAGACACAGGTCTCCCAGAGATGCAGAGGTATGCTGCCCCCTAAGACTTGCTCCACCAATGCACTGCTCTTGCCTGCTTGTTCTTAGCATGCATTTGTCTAGCTCCCTTTTCCAGGCCCATTCGTTTCCATTCCAGCATGTTCCGATGGGATTGCCAAATCAGCTGTGCAAGCAGTAGCATGGCCACAGCTTCCTGCTAGCACGAAGAGGGTTTCAGCCCAGGCCGCAGCCTGCATTGGGCCACCTCTCCAGGGCAGAGATGCCATGTGGTGACCCATGATGCCAGCCCCCCAGGGCTGGGGAGGGCACACTGCAGCAGGGAGCTCTGAGCTGAGCTTTGCCCTGAAATCCCTTAATCTCCTCGTCACAGGTACCACCTTTCCAGACTTCCTCAGCTACCCCATTGCCCTCTTTTTGCTAGGACATCACCCTCCACATGCTGCAGGCATGGCTTACACTCATGGTTTCTAGCCTCCCAAAGCTAGCAGCTGGGACTGCTCAGGCCTGGGACTCTTCCCATGTGGTGGGCCCAGCCTTCTTCTGAGGCAAGACCATGAGCATGGCCCATTATGCCAGCCCACCAGCTGGCACAGCAGCATCCAAGCATTGCCAGCAGGCCTCCAAGCCCCCCCAGCTTCCCCACGATCCCCCCTCTGGGGCAGCCCCTCGCATCCTGCCTCCTGGCACCGACAGCAGATTGTGCAGCCTCACATGGAGCCGCATGCACGTGGTGCGGTGTAAGCCAGCAGGTGGCTGAACAGCACAGCACTGGCATGATGGCTCCACTCCCCACGGCAGCCGGTGAGCCCAGCCCCAGCCAGACATCCTGCTGCAGGCCACGTGTGCCCACCCGGCCCTCACAGAGCAGGGGGACTGTCCTGCTGGGGCAGGGACACCAGGGCCACCAGTAATGCACCAGGCCTCCCTTCCCTACATGGTGGTGGTGGTGGGGTACAGGGCACCTGTCCCAGGTGGGGCATCCCTCTACTGGGAGGGCATCCCCGTCCTGGCAGGGGGCATCCTAGAAATCGGGGGGGGGGAAGGGTGAACTGGTACTGGGGGGACATACCAGCACTGGGAGGGCATCTCTGTCCTGGAGGGCACTTGTACTGAGGAGAGCATCGCTGTCCTGGGGGGACTGGTAGTGAGGAGGACATCCTGGTAGCAGGAGGGCATCCCTGTCCGGGGAGGAGGGGAAGGGGGGAGGATCATATCCGTACTGGGAAGGCTTCCCTGCCCTGAGGAGCGCTGGCACTGGGGAGGGCATCCTCGTCCGGGGG